TGCCTGTTGCATTGCTGTGGAATCTCTTCTGCTTAAAATAACATGGATGTGAAGTAGAGGTCCCTGATCCTGCTGCAGGCAGCACCTCCCTTCGCAAGTGCCCCCCGCCGAGCAAACACGTGGGGTTGGCTTAATCACAGCGGAGCCCATCATTGATCTCAGAAAGCCTATTCACAGCATAAATGTCTATTTTGTGAGTAATTGAACCCTGAGAGAGGTGTGAAACAAGCTGACTCTGCTTCCGATAAACGGTCTGGAGGCTGCTCTGACTCCTTCCAGCTGACCACAGAGCAATGTTCTAGGAATTTGTGGTTTAAAACAAAATCCAAGCTCTGCGCCGGTTTGTTTCTAGGCAGCTTTGCCTGCGAAGGAGCGTCGGTGTCCTTTAAGGAAATGGGTCTTGGTTGGGTAAGGGGCAAGGTGGAGGCGATTATGGCGGTTCAAAGGCATTTGTTGCAAGTCCCCAGTAAACAGAGGAGAAAGTTCAAGTAGGTTTCACAGAATTTATGTTTTTGGCGCTGACAGTGGTCATTGCTGGCAGGAGTTGGGAAGCAGAACTAGCACGGGAGGGGAAATGCCAGAACAGCCAACGGTCCCCACCAGGAAGGTTGATTTTGGGGTGGCTTTCGGTGATGAGTGATTCAGCTTGTGATGCAGGGCTTCCTGTTTCACGTGGGAGATAGAAACACCATCTCCTGACTCGGTGTCTCTGTTCTGGGACAGGCTCAGGTGCTGGTGACTGTGTTTTGTATTGCCAGTGGTGCAGGTTTTCTCAATGCCTTTGAGGCTGGTTTTGGACAGAAGTGCTCCAACTGGGAAGAATTGTTGGAAAAATTCAAAATAACGAGCCTGGGAAGTGGTTTGAAGGCTCTGGCTTTAAAAGTAGCTTTCAAGGCAGACATTTCTGAGCCAGTAATCGCATTATTTTCTTATTTATGGTGAATAAAGGCATGTTCCTTTTCTTTCCCATGCTTTTCTTTTTCCTCATTTTGTAGCAGTCTTCCAAAAGCCACAGTTACTGTACTCCATAGGAATGATTGCGTCTCCCATTCGTGTCCAAATACGTGTTCATTTAGACTTTTCCATGATAAAACTTCTTTCAGGTCTCTAGCAAGGGGTTACAGGGCTTATACCTTCAGCAGGATGTGGTGTGGCAGTTGGGTACTACTCAGGGCACCTCTCCTGGCACAGCTGAGGACTTCTCCGTGGTGGGAAGGGGATCGCTATTGCCTTCTTCAAAACAGGGATTGCAAAGCATCGTGCGGTTTTGTTGGAATCAGGAGGGAAGCGCCCGGGAGCTGCTTTCTGGTGGAAACGGCCAGTTACTGTGCTAAACCTAGAGTGAGTTGCTCTGGGTGGATATCAAGGAGCTGGGGGAAAAGGCTTAATTAGGCTGCAAGAGCACAGTTCCTAAAATACGACTTGCAGTAAAGTCGCCTGTCATGCAAAATAGGTGAATTTCTGCCAGCCGGTTTATTCAGTGTCCTTGAAAGGGGATTTTTTCAGTTTAGGGAAGCATTTTGCCTATTCTACAAAATAGGCAACATACGGTTGCTGAATTTGCAAAGTGAATACATTTGCTGATTCTGTTTGCAAAATGGGTATGCTTAGCTATTTTTCTGCCTATTTTGTAGCAGACCCTATTTTTAGCAAAGCCCATCTACGTGCCAGCATTTCTTTCTGGCTCTTTTACTTTCTGGGGTATTGTCAACTGCCTGGGGCCAGCTGGAGCAGGGTCAGAGCTCGGTCCCTGCAGGGTCCAGCCCTCACAGCCCCATCCCAGGGGATCTGCAGGGCTTCCTCCTGCCTCCACTGAGGTCAACACAGCAGAAGACATTTAATTGCCATCAGGGTGATCTTGCAGAGAGGGAACAGTGAAGGGAGTTGTTCTGGGTGTGAGAGGTTTATCTCCATCAGCCAAGGGAACAAAACCGTGGGGCTTGCATAGGAATTGGACTGGTTCCTCCTGTCACCTTCACTCTTCTCCTCCCCTCCAAAGAGCTGCTCTGTTCCCTGGAGCTGCGAGAGCGTGGGCTGCGGGAGGGCTCGGGCTTGGCACAGCCCACAAACTGCCTTCAGCTGCTACGGCGGCGTTACTATTCATCCATTTTTAGATACGCATGTCAGGTCCGATTTGGCTCGCTATCACTTACTGGTGTGATTGAGAGGCTGATGGGCTGGTGAGTCCAGCCGGGAAGGGGAGCAGAGGAAGCACCGATGCTAAAAGCCAGCACAGATGGTTGCTCAGGAATGGACTTGCTTGCTTAGGGCTGCCCAGAGGATGCTTGGAGGAGGAATAAATGCTTCTGTTCTGACCGGGAGCTTCTCCTGGTGATGGAGCTGTGAAGATCTGGGGAGTACACAGATGAGGTGCCTGAAATCTTCGCTTTTGAAGGATGCAAGAGATGGCAGGGAGTGCGTGTCCCAGCTGGAGCAAAAAGCACTGGATGGGGATGCAGCATCCCAGCCCTGTGCAGAGGGGTTTGAAGTTGGCGTGGCAGGAAGGATCTCTCAGCTCCGTGATGGGAAGGGGCGTCAAGGAAATGCTCAGATGGTCCATTCCAAAGCCATGCTCAGGAGGGCCGAGCTGTGAGGGGGGAGCTTTGGTACTGCTGCCCTGCTGCCAGGGTGTGAGCTGCTGGGGATACAGCAGTGTGACGTGGATGCTGCTTTTTCCATCTGCAAATGCCAGTTCCTTAAAACAGGAACTCTGGATAGAGCTTTTGTTGGGCTGTTCCAAGGAGCGGAGGAAAAGGAGGAAGAAGAGCCACCCCACGGGCTGTGAAGCAGCCAGGGCCATGCCAGGTGGCTCTGCGGGACCCAGCACTGGCTCCATTCCCAGTGGGGATGACAGACCCTTCAAAGCCTCGAGGCTTCTCAGCAGACCAAGCCCTCGTGCTGGGCTCTCCCCCGGCCGTGCCGCAGGCTGGCACACAGCACCAGGCACCGGCTGCCTCCCGGTGCTGAGGCTTCATAGACTTTGCAGGGTATTTTTAGCCTCTTCCCAAATGCGATGCTCTGAAAGCAGGAGGATGTAGCAGATTTGCTGGCAGGGTGGGAGCTCTCATTTTCAGGGGGTTGATGGCATCGCTTCGGGAGGGGTGACAACACAGCAGCTGTGATTCCTCCGAGCTGCCGCGGGCTGTTGGTGTTACCTGTAGCTCCTCACCCGCAGCACGAGATTCCCCGTGTTGGCTTTTAGGGCATTTTAATTTTTGTTCTCATTCCTCACTTTCATCTTTTGGTTGCTTCCTTTAGCTCCTGATGAAACCTAAGCATCTCCTGTGCATCCATGCGGGGGGGCAGGACAGTCTCTGTCTCCAGGCATGCAAAAGGGAATTGATTTATTTTCAGGGGAAGTGTTAATCTGGCTCAGCTCTGGGGCTGGAGGTACTTTGTCTGCCTCACATTATTGTTGAGGTAACTCCAAAAGGCCTCAAAGACCAAAGATGTGTTGCTATGATTGAATTAGTGCCAGGTCCAGGATGGCTGGACCAAACCCACGTGCCACGATCAGCATAACACTGGCTACTGGTTGCTGCAGGTGCTTGACACCAGCCATAGGCTGTGGAGCTCAGTGTCCACAGCACGACTGACCCAGCTTGGGGGTAACCCAGCTGCCTCCTGACCAGGAATCAGGTGTTTCCATCGGTTTGGGGGTGTTTTTTACCTCCCCCAATTTTTCTTGGAGGAAGCGGGGCGAGAGCAGAGTGCAGCAGGGAAATCTTGCAGCCTCAGACTTCCTTCCGGTTGTGGGGCAGTGGTGGCAAGAGATGAGTTTATTTCTCTGAAATCCAGGCTCCCCACGTCCCCGCTGCGGTGCCAGTGCAGTGCCAGGCTGCCCATTCTGGAAAGCGGTGTCAGGGTTAGGAGCGACCTGGGGTTTGCCATTAGAGCGACATCTGCTTTCACTTCCTGAATTGGGGCTTGGAAGGCATTTGTTTGACTCAAAATGAAACCTTAAATCCCCTCTGGTCACCCAGCTGCTCTCACATGAGGCTGGGCAACATCGCTGCTTCCAGTGCAGCAGCTGTCAGGGACCAGACGGGCGTCTCCCCAGTACTGACCTCACCTGTCTGTGGGTGTTCTCCTCCAACAAGACTGTGTCCGGAAGAGGGAGGAGTGATTCGGGAGGTGGAGGGTGGGAGGAGGCTTATTTGTGTTGCAAATCATATTTCAAAGTTACCAGGCTGGTCCCATAAACACCTGGCAGAAGTGCAGTGCTGGACCCGGTGGGTGACTGGGTGGATGAGCCATGAGGATGTCACCGAGGGGGATATGGTGTGGAAACCCCTTGCAGTGCCAGGTTTTGTTGGAGCCTGGGTTTGATGTGAGTGGGGATGTGCTCATCCTGTTCCTGGACCAAAAAGGAGGAGCATCAGCTGGAAAAATACTTTTGGTTTCTAGGGTGGTGTAGGAGCTGTGGGATATCACTCTGTGGCCAGGCTAGCACAATGTATGGCCTTGGACAGGGTCTGGGTGCCTGCTTCTTGATTTTGGGGAGCCAGGCCCGTGCATGGAGCTGCCCCGAGGCCTCAGTCCCATTGGCATTGCCAACACAGAGCCGTGAGCTCCGGAGCTGGTGTGTGGTGTGGGAAGGAGTGCCCAGCTGTGGGCACCATGACGAGCCTCTGCCCAGCATGGTTTGCTGGCAGCTCCAAAATTACTGCCCTTCACACTGTTCACATGGTGGAGACCTCTTCTGCCCCCTGTGCCTCCTCCCAAGACCAGGTTTCAGTCCCTTTTGGCTCAGTGGACTCAGGCAGGCACTGTGCTCTCTCCTGGGTCATGGATCACTCTCCAGCACAGGGGATTTGATTGCTGAACCAAGCACCTAATGCTCCAGAGGAGGCTCAGGCAGAAAGTGTGGGGTGTGGACAAAGTCACACTGGATGAGACTCTGGTTCCACTAAAGATGTTGGGTCTGGAAGGGAAGAGCCTGAGGGTAACTGATGGCCTGTTTTGAGAATTCACCCTTGGGTTGGTCCCATACCCTGGAGCATGTCCATGCCCTAATAAACTGTATTTCTTTAAGCAACATGACTCATTCTCAGCCTGAGCAGCCATCGAGGGCCAGGCCTGGAGGAGCTGCCCTTCCCAGGCACTTCTCTGAGATCCCTCTCTCCCTCTGCCCTTTCAGGAACAGAAGTTTTGCCAGCGCTATGACCAGCTGATGGAGGCCTGGGAAAAAAAAGTGGAGCGCATCGAAAATAACCCCCGGCGCCGTGCCAAAGAGAGCAAAGTGCGGGAATACTATGAGAAGCAATTCCCGGAGATCCGGAAGCAGCGGGAACTGCAAGAGCGCATGCAGAGGTTAGAGGAGAAGCGGTAGGAAGGGGCTGAGCTGGTATCAGACAGCCTTTCTTTTTTCTTTGGGAATTGGTGTGGGATTTGCTTGTGGGAGGAGTGGGCTGGGGATGGTTATCGGTCCCTTTTCTCCCTCTCTGGTCGAAGGCAGAAGCCAGCAGACAGACAGCCTTGCTGCTCCTTCCCCAGAGTGGCTCAGCACAGAGCCAAAAGAAGGAAAAATGTCAGGAATGTGATTGCCTGTCTCACCTCTGCTGCTGATCTCCCAGCTGACCATGTCCGAGCCAGGGGCAACTCCCTTGTGCTGGCCACCTGTCCAGGACAGCGCTAATCCCTGCCTTGCTTTTGGACCCAAATTCAATTGTATGAGAGTTGCAGATGCATTTGGTCATGTTGATGATTTAATACATGCACATGCTTTGATGGGAGCATGGGCAGGGAGAAGAAACATCTGCAGAGGCTATTGGAATGACTGCAAATGATATGGAGGGAGCAGAACGTCACTGAAAGGGGTGTCCCCTGTCTCTCCCAGCCCCTGTTCATTTTCCTCTCCTCATTGGAAGTGCAGTTGAGGTCATGTTGTTTCTTGCCAGGAGGAGATACGATTTCATGATCTCCACCCTTTTTGCTGAAAACTCCCTGTCCTTCCCATTTCAGCCCTGGGATCTTGCCCAGGGACACCTGATGTGTGCAGAATCCAAACCGACTGCCAGCATTCCATCCTTGTGCCCCACTAACAACCGGATGGGCCCAAACTTCCTAATTGATGGCTTTATTTTACCTTAAATGGAAAGGGAGAAATGGTACTGAGAAAGGTTTTAATTTTTTACCTGCTTAATAAGAAAAGTTGTGATTCCTCAGGACATGTGGCTGATACTGGAAGTGGGGGGAAGATGGGTGGGTTTGATTTAAAATTTCCCGTAGCATTTTCAAGCCAGATGTGGTGGCACAGTGCCAACGGCTCGGGACTAACATTGACACCTTTGTGCCATTGCCGTGGTGGGATGAACAGGAGAAAATACAGGGGAGAGTGTGGTTGGGTGTGAAATGTGCTTGTGTTCTAGCAATCCAGGAAGCTGGCACAGGTAAGGAAGGTGGTTTGAGTCTCTCAACTGTGAGCCCTGAGTGCGGGCGCCGTTCCCACAGCGTGGGATGGGGTGGCCCGGGTGGGGTGTTGGGATATGGCTATTATGGAGGTCAAAGTTGTCTTGAATGTGGTTTGCTGCTTATGAAATGGAGCATCAGTTCCTGAGTGTGCCGCTGCCCTTTCCCAGCAGGGTAGGACAGAGGGGCAGCGGCGGGCTCTCCATGTCAGCCGCACGCAGCGAGCACGAGGTGTCAGAAATCATCGACGGGCTCTCAGAACAAGAGGTGAGACCGGGTTATTTTTTCTTGTCCTCTTCACCCCTATATCTTCTCCAAGGAAACCTAGAGAGTGCTGCCAGGTCCCATGGTGAAATTCAATGCGAAATCTAGGCCACACTGAGGTTGGAGAGGTTGCCATAATGCCTAACACACTTTCTGGATAGGATCCAAAGTTAGGTGTTCATTTAATATCCAGCAGCGTCTTTCCAATCAACGTGCAAGATGTAATGGAGCTGTGCAGTGTTCTGCAGGAGCAAAACATGGAGCTGGTGGCCAGTGGGTCGGGTTTATTGGCATTTGGCTGTCTCTTAGGGAAATCCCAGTGTGCTGCTTGTCCTGGGTAGCACCCCACAAACACCTCCTGGCTGTGGTTTATACTGGAAGCGGAGGTGGGAAGGGAAGGGAGCCGGCGCCCGGACTGCCGGGTGGAGGGGTTTTTCTGTTTCATTTTGTTTTGAATGGGCTGTGTGGCTTGACACAGGGGAATCCTATGGAATGAATGGTTTGTACGTGAGCCAGTTGGCCCACATCTTCTGGGAGTGCTCCATTCATCTTGAAACATCCCCGTGACCTCGGCTTCGTTTGGATCTGGTTTCACAAGGGTTCCATTCTCTTGGCACAGAGGCAAGCTGCAGTGAATGGATCATGTTTGGGAGGGGAGAGCAGCCATAGCTGGGATGTTTGCTGCCTGTGCACCACGGCTCGATACCCGTTCAGGATCCTGGGCAGTTTGCTCTTAGCTAGTTAAGACGACAACCTGAGGGATTTGGATCTTGGAAGCAGAGGGAAATTTCACAGCTCTGCAGAGGTCGTGGCCAAGGGGAACGTTAGCTGATCCCCTCCAACCTACTGCAGTGTGCTGCTGAACTCCACCCCAATAGCCACCCGCTGAGCCCCAAATCTTCACAGCTTCACTTGTCTCAGAGGAGACTTTAAGAGCTTCCAGCTCTTTCACAGGGTTGGAAGGAGCTGGGGAGTATTCCTGGCAGCAGCACCAGCTCTGCCCCAACATGTTGCTGGAGAGGAGAGGGGTCCAGATGCTGCCTGGTGGAGTGTATTACCAGTGCTCAGCACCCCAAGACCCTGCCAGGCAAGGGGAGAGATGCTGTGCCCTCAGCTGTAGGCAGTGCTCCTGCCAGCTGCCTCTCTGCTCTGCACAGGGGCTTCTCCTGTTGCCCTGGGCAGCCTGGGGTTGTCTGGATCAGTGCTCTGGCCAAGAGCTGTCTCTGACCTCCCACCGTGAGGTGACACCCCCAGGCATCTGGAGCAGCCGGTTGCTAAACAGGAGGTGTCTTAGTGAGGGATGAGGAAGGTGATCAAATGTGTTGAAATGTCTGTGTCTGCGTAGTGAGCTGTGCTTTAGGAGGAGGAGGTGGGGTCTGATCACACGCAGCGGGGAGGCAGAGCGGTACCGGGCAGGCAGGGGTCGGCAGCCTGTTGGAAGGATTGGACATTGCTGTTCTACCAGGAACCAGCATCTGCCTGTAAATTAAAACAAACAACACTTGAGGCCTGGCCTTCCTGGGTCAAGGGTTGAAGTTTGTCTAAGCAATGCCATTCCAGGTGACAGGGAGGACTCGGGGTGACAGTGCAAATGAAAGAGGATGGCCAGAACATCCCTTCATCCTTGCAGGGTGAACCTGTGCCAGGGGACCACCAGCAGCTCAGCTGAAGGGACAGTCCCTGCATTCAGGCAGAGGATGGCACAAATGAGACATCACAATGGCCTGTCTAATTGCAAGTACTTAAAGAAACCAGTGTGCCCAGTCTGTCCTGTCCTGGTGTGCAGCTGGGGCTCTGGATGAACTTTGTGTTCCATAGGACGGATCAGATTATGTCCCAGGGTGTTGCAGTAAGAGGGAAAAAAAAGGAATGACAGCCCCGTTACAGTGACATTTGAAACCTCCTGGAACAATTTAGGTTTCCTGTGGAAGAGAAAAAGGATGTCTTCCTCTGCCCACCCTTTCAGGAAGCTTTGCAGAGCTGGCCCACTACCTTTGCAGTTTGGGTGGAGGGCTGAGCCTCCATGTGGCCATGGGTTTGATGGCTGGGAAAGGGTCTGCATTCCCTGTGCCACTGCTTGACTTCTCTCAGCGTGGTCAGGAGCTGTTTTGCTTAAATCAGACATTTCCACACGGAATCTTAAAGCCTTTTATTCCAAAATGAAAGAATAATTGTTTCCTGGCTGACAGCGATAGCCTCTTTCAGTGTTTAATTTACAATTACCCCAGCAATAAAGCTGTCTAGTGCTTGCTTTTGAATTCTCCTGTTCCTCCTTCTGTCCTTTTCCTCTCGAACATCTGTCCCCTGCAGTCCCCGCGGGCCCGTGGTGCTGACCAACTGTTCTCTCTGCTTTCCCCAAAGAACCTGGAGAAGCAGATGCGCCAGCTCGCTGTCATCCCGCCCATGCTCTACGATGCTGACCAGCAGCGCATTAAATTCATCAACATGAATGGCCTCATGGATGACCCCATGAAGGTCTACAAGGACCGGCAGGTGATGAACATGTGGAGTGAACAGGAGAAGGAGACCTTCCGGGAAAAGTGAGTGCAGCCCACACACCTCTCTCAGTGCAGCCTTTAGGGAACACGCACAGGATCCGTGCAGGGCTTCGGCTGGGGCCCCAGCACACTAAGGCATGAATTTCCCAGGGGCTTATCTTGTCCCCCAGGGACACAGCCACAGTCCCTGTGTTACCTTGAACAGCACAGGGTGATGGACCTGCACAGAAATCTCAGGCCTTGCTGTATGGTTGGGGTGTTCTTGCCCATGTGCTGAGCTGTGGGAAGCTGCTGCTTGTGACAGGGTGAGAATGGGAAGTTTTTCTGCTTTTGCATTCCCTGTTGTATCAGCCAGTTCAAGGATAACACCAATGAAAGCAAACACTCCATACACATTACCTTTCTGTATTTACATGCTGTCCTTTGGGCACTGTGTGTCCAGGGGAATTCTGGTGGCTGTCAATGTCTGACCCCCTCAGGCTGCAGCTTCCAGCTGGTGCCCATCCCTCAGCGCTCCGTCCTGCTGTCTGCAGGATTCGCCACCGGCTGCTGTTTCCATGGATGCATTCCCACATCAGACACGTGCAGACTCTGGCTGTGGTGCTTTCAACTGTTTGCAAGCAGTGCTTGGGAACAGCTTTGCTCTACCAGCTGAGATCAGTTGGACGATAACTGTTCCCTTCCCTGGGAACCTCTGTGCTGTCAGCCAAGATGGGGGTCCCCAGCTCAATCTCACATCCAGACTCCCCTGTATCCCACAGCCCTATGCCAGCTGTGTTTGCATGGAGGGCTGGAGCATCCTTTGTGCCCCCCAGTGTGCCGTGTTTGTCTGTAAAAACAGAGCTGGATTTCAGCTTCCAGTGGGATGAGCTCTGCTGGGGCTCCCTGCTGTGGACACGAGGGACATGGAGGTATGTGGGTGTGCCAGGGCCACCTTGTTCCTTGCAGCAGCACCACTTAGTCTGGCCTCCAGACTGTCGTGGGATGGCTCCGTGGATTACCAGCAGGCACACAGCCAGCCAAGCTGGAAACTTCTCTGTGTCCAGGATCCCTCCTCCTGTCCCTGCTTGTGACAACTCCTGCTTGCAGCTGAAATAATTAATTGCCAAGATGGACCGAAAAAGAACAAAACAAGCAAACCAGCTCCAAGCCTTTGGTAGAGGAGAATCCTCGTTGCTAATTAGCCTTAAAATGTGCCACTCCAAACAGCAAGGCTTGCCACAAATGACGCAAAGGCTAATTACTTGGTCTTTAATGGCAGGGCCGTGCCTGGCTAATGGGCCTGGAAGAATCCACACCCAGTGTGTGCATC